TATTTTTTATTTATTTTGTGTGTGTCGTATTTTGCAGTATGTACAAATGGTGGAGACTGGAGAGAGTCCTTTGTATTTTGTAAATTATGGCGACGGATATGGCCTCCGATGTAGAAGTTAGAACCGAAAATATGGATTTAGCCATTTAGGTAGCATTTTCATAATCTTACGTGAAAAAAGTGTGAGAACATAGGCTGCTCAATCTTTGGGTTCATTTAATCATCGTACAAGCCTAAATCATACTTTAGGCCCAATGTAGACAGGCCTAATGCCCAAAGAGTGAAAAGGATTGATTGTAAATCGACACATGTACCGAATTACCACATATATTATAAAAATAATTTTATATATAATATGAAAATTACGTGGAATATTATTAAGTATATATAACCTATAGGAAATTTTAGCATGATTGATGGATACTTTAGAGTATTTATGGAAGATTTAAATAACAATAATCTTAAGAAAACATATCAATTCAATTAAAATAGTATCTTACAACATTAAGGTCATTTATATGTAATAGTGCTTCTCAATTAATTATTTGGGATTTTATGACATAATCATTAAATTATTTTTTTATTAAAACAAGATTAAGGTCATATTTTTATTAAACAAATTTTTTCTTTTTATATTAATTTTATGATATAGTTTTCATTGTTAATATTCTCCATTGTTTGGCTTTTATCTATGGGAAAATGTCTACGAAATTGAAAATTTAAATTTCATATTCATAAAAAAAATTGAGGAAATTTTATTTTTGATTTTATGTAAATTTAATAATTTGGAATAAGGTGTAGGAATGACATACCTCAAACTATGTATTTATTTAGTAAAGCTAGAAAATGCTATAACCCCATTTATAGATATCTGTAAGAAATGCAAGAATCTTATCATTTTTAATTAATACTATTAATTATCCTTTTTCTAACACAAAAACCCTATTCCTTATCTTTGTTTTTCTTTTGTGTGATGGTTTTTTTTTTAAAATAAGAATCCAATAAAGAAATTTGGATGATTAATGTTCACTTCATCTTTCTTGGTCGCAAATTGTCAACACGGTTAAAGCTGTTTGTTTTTGTTTTTGTTTTTTTCCTTTTTTTGACAGTTAAAGCTGATTTTCATTAAATATATTAATCAATTACTAGTAACTATTAAATACCTTAACTTTTGCCTAATTACAAAACTACGTGTACATACTTTAATTTTCTCGATTTCTCCTAAATACAAACCACTTTAGTTTCCCCTTGATTAATTACAAAAGTACAAGTGTCATTTATCAGCAAATCTATTGTCTTGCATGCAGCATACCTTTAACATACATAGAATTAGATTCTCATCACTTATTGTAGTTTCCTTAACGGACACTTTTTCCGATCAACCTTTCACACTAAACGGACACTAAAGAGACGACACTTCGTCACACGTCACAAGCAGACGTTACAACAAAAAACTGATAAAGATTTTTTGACTTTCGATTACAGAGGAAAAGAAACTGACTAGATATCACTAAAATTAAAATTATGAAAATAGTAATAATAAAATTTTGAACCCTAGAAGAAATTTTGAAAATCAATAGATAGCAGTAACTATTTTATAAATGTAAAAAAAGATTAAAAACAAATTATAGTAGTTATATGATATTTGAAACGATATGATTTTTTTTTTTGATAATTGAAACAATATGCTTTTAGAACCTATTTTCATGTTAACAAAGATAAAAAAACTATTGTCATGATGTTTAAATATTAGATATAATATATAGCTGGTTATATATGATCCATTTTTCTTGTTAGTTGTAATTATAATTTTTATTGATGTTATTATTTGATGAATACAAATTCCACTTTCCAACTAAAATACTGGTTAGTAATATATTTAACATTACAAGCTTTTGCTTAAAAATAAGAAATGCTAAAATGTAACTGATGCTTTACTTTTTTTTTTTAGTATTATAGATTGAGTCGTTATACTATCGACAAAAATTATCGTTAAAATCGTTATACGGATTATTAAAGTATTTACAAATATCATAACTAGAACTTTATTAAAGTTCTGATATGAATTTGTCGCTTTTATCAGTCAGAACATTTTCGATCTAATTACAATATCTAGTAAAGTCAACAGTTTTGACACGCATAATACCTATCTTAAATAATAAATTCAAAGATTAAATAATATTTTTCTGCCTGACATATATATATATATATATATGTTATAGTTAGTTTTTTCATGAAGACGAAATTTTTTTTTAGTTTTTTCATGATTTTAATAAAAAATATATTAATTATTTGTATGGGTGATATTTTTTTTAATCAAATAAGTAATTATTAAAAATGCAAACGTTATTTTCTTAAGTTAAGATTAAATTTATTCAATATGTTTGCACACGATGGGCCACCTAATTCAGTAATTAATTAAAAATATTAAAAAAAAAAAGTTTCGTTAACAGTGTGAAATCGTCTACAAACCCTAAAACACTTAAAGTGACAAAGCTCTTTGCATTTTTAATTTTTTGGATCCTGTCGTTCCATGAAACACAGTAAATTTAGTTATAAACAGTTTTTCGTCTCCATGAGTAAGAATCAAGCGCATGTAAAGTATAAGTAATTTTGTTGCTAGGAGAACATTGAACATTCTCTAAGCCATCATCTAATCTAGAAAGAACTAGCTAGGTATAACATTTTAAATCAAATATTGTCTATGAGTTGAATAAGGGCAAAAGCTGCGGAAACTATTAATATTAGCTAACTTATTTTTAGAGAACTTTATATCTAAATTTTTTTTAATTTCTGCTAAATAGTTTTAAGTGGCGAAGAAGGACAAATGTAACCAATCATGGTCGAAAAACAAAAACTTACTACATAATTCAAAAACTAAAAAACACATATAGTTAGGAGAAAATAGTATAGTGATTGAAAGATTTATTTCAGGATTAGTATACTAGGTTCATGTCATTATATATATCTAAATAGTAAAATTATCTGATTATTCCAAAAATCATAAGAATTATTGCACGTTTTGGTATGAGATTAGGAAACAAAAAATAATCACAAAAAAATGAAAAACATTTTTCTTTTATACGAAAAGTGAAACATAAAAATCAGGTACTAGCCACATTATGTATATATGAAGATCAAAGATAAACAAACTAGGTTTTTTTGATCGACAATTTTAACTACATCATAGCTAAAAGTTAATCTTGAAATAATAATAAAAATTCATAATTTATTTAGAATTTACATACAATAATGTAAGATTTTCCCTTTATAGCACAAATCCAACAAAGATGTAAGAAATCTATATGAAAATCAATCCTAAACGAGAAAGAAAAAATATGGAGAGATACTAAAAATTCATATATTTTATAGTACTACCAAATTTTTTTTTTTGGGGGTTAAATCTACCAAAAATTTATTGGTAAATAGCATTAATTTTTTCTTAACTTAGTCTAGATTTCTTACATTAATTAGCACACGCTATTTCTAAGCAATGGTAATATTTTGTTTGTATCTCTTTTTTCTAATTTTTCTCAACTTTTCTTAATTTTCAATATTATCATTAAAATAGTAAAGAGAATTAAGTTTTCTTTTTATCTCATATTATTATTATTTCTTTCTACAAATAATAATTACATATACACCAATACAATATTGCCATATGTTGCATTTGCGTGTCTACTTTACTCGCCTTTAAATAGTGAGCTTTGTGCAACTTAAATAGTTCATACAGACTTGAAAGAACAAAAGAAAACTCTTTACAAAGATTATTAGAATGGTTTTTGCTCAATCTTTTTACAACCAAAGCTCTGTCTTGAGAATCAATGTCATGGTTGTGGACGACGATCGTGTTTGCCTTGATATTTTGTCACGCATGCTTGAGAGGTCCAAATACATAGGTAAAATCTTATTATCATATATAATATGTTATTGATTTTTTTGTTTGTGATTTCATTTAGATTTTTCTTTCTATTATTTTTTAACATGAAATACAATTTTTGTAGAAACAACTAGCAGATTTAAAAACAAAATTTGTTGAAATTTAACAATTATTCTTCTAGATCATCCGGATTCGAATTCTGTTTACATGTACACATCCACAATTTCGATTGAGGTATTCTTGTTTTGATGACTTTGAAACGAACAGTTTGATTGATAAAAAATTCTAACAAATATGCCATGTAAAGTTTCTTTTCTTTTTGTCAAACCATATTGTATACTATGTAAAAAAAATTTAGAGACTATTGAGCAATATTTTATTTAGAAAATAGAACTTAGTGTTGAATTAAAAAGAAATTATTTGTAGATCGTGTTTGCATCCGCATGTGATTTTTCTTAGTTTAAAACTAGCTGATATTCTTCAAATCGACTTTTCTTATAAGTAATCAACCAATTAGCCTTTCAATCACAAGAATTTGTAAACACTTCAATGAAAATGTTGTGATTTTAAAGAATATGTTTTACTTATGCTGTGAACTTTTCTCAAAATTTGTAAAATATTTCATAACTAATGTGGAAAACTTATGTTTCGTATATAAGCCCTCCATAGAAAACATAAGTAGAACTTATGAAAACCTAATTTTTTAGAAAAGGTTAAACCAAACAAAAATTAATAATTCTTAGTACTTGCAATATTTTTCACATTATATTTTAGCTTATTAACTTTATTTTGGTTAAATGATTTTAGATCCATCGGTTATGAAGATCACAGTTATAGCGGTAGACGATCCAAAGAAAGCATTATCTACACTAAAAATTCAGCGAGACAATATAGATCTCATAATCACAGATTATTACATGCCTAGCATGAACGGTCTACAACTCAAAAAAGAAATCACTCAGAAATTTGGAAATTTACCGGTCTTAGGTAATATTTTTTGTTCTTTACAACTAAAATCAAATTATGATATTTTTTTTTGTTATAGTTTAAGATATATTTAACCGTTTGTTTCCCCTTACATTTCTTTTAATATAAAAGTTATGTCATCGGACCCCAACAAAGAACAAGAGAGTTTAAGTTGTGGAGCGATGGGTTTCCTTCCAAAACCCATAGAACCAGCTGACTTAACAAAGATTTACCAGTTTGCTTTAACCTACAAGAGGAATGGTAAGTCAACATTATCAACCGTACAAAACCACAAGGATGCAGATGTTAGTGTCCCTCAGCAAATCACGTTGATTCCTGAGCAAGCTGACGTCTTAAGGACCAAGAAGAAGAACTGCTCATCTAAATCGGATTCAAGAACCTTGAACAGTACAAATGGAAGTTGTGTTAGTACGGATGGTTCAAGAAAAAATCGAAAAAGAAAACCCAACGGTGGTCCTAGTGATGATGGTGAATCTCTGTTGCAACCCGCCAAGAAGAAAAAGATTCAATGGACGGATTCTCTTCACGACCTATTCTTACAGGCTATCCGACATATCGGTCTTGATAGTAAGTGTTTTGATTTTTTATAAAAACTTTTTCGATACATATAGTACATGATACACTGTTTATTTTCTTACAATTAAGGTTATATATGCACCAAACACTATAACTAATGTTTTATGTTTGTTTACTAATCTTCCACAGAGGCGGTGCCAAAAAAGATCTTAGCGTTCATGAACGTATCATACTTGACAAGAGAGAACGTAGCCAGCCATTTACAGGTTTGCTATCTCTTGTCAAAAATGTTTTTGGATCTTATTGATTAAAATGGAAAAAGTAGAAAATACAAAACCTTACTCGAATCAAAAAAAAAAAAAACTTGAACTATCTTATTAAGCACAAAAATCATCCAAGTTTGAGTTGATTTGAATCTATCCTTAGTCAACAGAGCTCGTTATAACACCCTCTAACATAAACTTGGGGATTTCTTTCTCCTCCGCTTTAAATACATCATACCATAGATTATGTGTCATTCTACTTTTTATTTAACTTAAATTCATTTACTACGTTATTCAGAAATATCGGATATTCTTGAGGAGAGTCGCGGAGCAAGGTTGGTCAAGCATGTTGTCGGATAGAGGCATAGACTCGATGTTTCGACAAACTCACATTAAGGAGCCGTACTTCAACTGTTACACACCCTTTACTTCTTGGTATGACACAAGTCTTAACAATAGATCATTCTATTCCAAACCCGGACATGGCCTTGGACAGTCTAGACTCTTGTCCAAAACACGTGAGCCCGTCCGCTTCAACCAGATGCCTTACAACTACATGAACCGGTCATCCACCTATGAGCCGCACCATATAGGATCTGGATCAAACTTGACGCTGCCCATCCAAAGCAACCTCAGTTTCCCAAACCAACCATCTCAAAACGAAGATATAAGAAGCTTTTTCGAACCACCGGCCGTGATGGCGAACAAAATCGCCCAAACATCTCAAGTTCTTGGGTTTGGACAACTTGGACCGTCAGCTATTATTGGTAATAATTTCAACAATAACATGATGAGTAGCTATGGAAGTTTGACTCCGAATCAACCGGGACTTAGCCACTTCTCGTATGGGATGCAATCGTTCTTAAACAATGAGAACGCAGCATGTAACCCTCAGCCACCTGCCAATGCAACTACGCAGCCAAATCTTGCTGAACTTCCTCAACTGGAGAATCTCGACTTATACAATGATCTCGGCAACACTAGTGAGCTTCCTTACAACATAAGTAACTTTCAATTCGATGACAACAAGGTAAATTTTCACAACCCTAATTTTACAACGATATATATATTATACATGAAGTATGTGCTGTGATATGTGTATTTTAAATTTTTTTGTGTGCAGCAGCAACAAGGAGAAGCGGATTCCACCAAATTTGATCTCCCTGCAAATTCTTCGACTGAACTGAATCAGATTTTGTCTCTTGAAGACAGTGGTGACCGGACCTTCGTGAACATAAACCAGGTATTTACAAGTTATTAAGAGATCTTAGCAATTACTAAGATCAAATTTGAACCAACCTCCTCTCAAAGATTAGATCTTATCAAATTAATGTTGTAGAAAACTATCCACTTAGTAGCTACTACTAAGTTTTTCATAGACATTTGTAAGTTATTTGTAAGTTTTTCATGCTGCCAGTCTTCTAATTAAATAGAAATCGGCATTTGTTTCCAAACACCTATTGAATATATTATATATACAATATATATGTCTTATTGACTTACATGACTTCGTTGTGAAGGGTCAATCTAATGGAGAAACATCGAACACTATTGCTGCTCCGGAGACTGATCCTCCAATTTTCAACATGAACCCTAATCAGAATCAGGTACCTCTAATTTATACTAGTCTAGAATATTTATATGAAACTATGATACCTAATATAAACGAAATGATTGTTTAAATCTATTCTGAAATCTGGACTCGATTTTTTAGGGACAAGATGTTCCAGAGTTTACCGATTGGTCGTTTTTGGATCCGCAGGTAAACGATATAGTGTTTACAAGAACTAAAAGAAATTAGTATTGTGAACAAAAAAAAAAAATATTATTAGTATATAATTTTATTTGAAGTTTATGAGTCTTATTTTTGTGTTAATTTTTTCTTATATAGGGATTGGTTGATGATGACTTCATGAACTCTCTGTTCAACAATGACATGAATTGAAAAGGGTTTTCTTCTCCAAGATGTTCTCAAAAGCAAGGTGAAGAAATAAATCCGACGATACCTAGTAGTTCTCTAAGCAGATAATATACCTAGTAGTTCTCTAAGCAGATATATTAAAAAAAAAAATCGTAGAAGTATGGTTTTAGTTATACATGTAATAAATTTCTAAGTATTGGATACTATGTCTTTTTTTCAGTAAGCTTAGTGTTGGATATTATATTATGTTATCTCTGGGAACTTTGTAATATACTAATATATACATAGTAATGATAATAATACTATCTGTGTGGGTTTAAAATAGATGTCATGTGTTTGTGTTACATTCATACAATTTACGATCATATGTTCTAGGATTGAATAGTACAATCTTTTAAACGAAATATAATATATATATATATATATATATATATACACATATACCCATATATATAAGACTTTTCATACAAAATATGATATGTTCGTGGACCACAAAATTAGGTTTTGGATGAATCTGAGTTTTATTGTAGCTTTTAGTTTCTGAAAAATACATATGAAAATTTATTTTTGTAGTTTTAATTATTCTTGCTTGGTAAGTGCAAAACCCAAAGTTAAAAATGATAACAAAAACTTCAAACCATTGATCTCGTTGACCTTAGTTTTACTGAAAAAAAATTGATATACAAATATCAGTTACGAAATCTAATACATGTACTTAATATTTAAAAATCAAATTTGTGATGAAACGTACTTAATTTCTCAAAATCAAATTTGTGATGAAATCTTTTTGTTTTTAATAAGTTTTGAAAACTGCAGGAAATGCAATACTATTAATATATTTTTAGAGTATTGCATAAAGTGATAACTGATTCTAAATCTAGTTTTTGTAAGATTTTAAAACTAATAAATATTTAATATTTAATTTAAAATAGATTTGTTTCTGTTAAATAATATTAAATAATATTAAATTATATTAGTGATTTGGACAAAATCCACTTTTATTAGAAATATTTTAAGCAGTGAATCTTTAGTGATTTCAAAATGTTTAAGAAAAATTTCTTAGTTAAAAATACAAATATCTAAATCTCATAGTTTTAGGTAAGATTACAAAAGAATTTTGATAAAAAGATCATAAGATTGTTCACCAAAATCATCTAAAACTTCAATCCAAACATTTGGTTCAAATATACTCTCTAAGTCTAGAGTCATATCATTAATTTAATTAATTTCTTTTAGTCATGGCTCAATGTTTTGATGCGTGGACTCCCATAAGAATAATTTTTTCACTTCTGTGCTATATTTTTAATTTTTTTTTTCGTCGTGCTATATTTTTAAATTGAATATTCCAATTCATTCATTTAATTACTACGAATTTTTATAAAGTTTCTATGGTCCCTAAGATGTGATCGATTATCTGCTTTCTGTTCCTAAAATTCATTCTTCTCTAAGAAATTATCAAACATAACATTTAATATATATTATATTAATAATGCAAGTCGTACAATTTGACCCCAAAAAACCTCGCCTTTGTCATTATAATTAAATAAATTGGGTTGACGCCAAATAACAAATAAAATGACTTTAGTTTCAAGAGGGAATCCTCAACATAAACGTTTGGTTTGATGTCTTGGCCAAAAAAAAAAAAAAAAAAAAAACGTTTGGTTGGATGTCAGATCATCGAAGTCCTATGTCATATAACTATAGATCTAAATATTTTGAGTTTATAAAGATGGACTAAAGATCAAATGGTTATGGTAGATGGTTTAGTCAATATATAGACATTAATTAGTATTTGGTTACTCCAATATATTTATATGGCTATATAAATTATTTAGATTTATGAACCATTTTTAAAATCTCAGTCCCCTTCATAAGTTCATATACACTTCTAGGACCCCTTTCGTAAACATAAATTTTGTGGTACTGCATATATATGTTATATTTTCGGAAAAAAAAAACATAAAATTTTGTACTTCAAAAAAGTTCCTTATTTTTCACTCCAACTCTTTCCAAAGAGTCACCAGTTGTAGAAAGCAAAAATAGGTGTCAAGGAAACATTTAGAGCCATTCCAAATCTTTGTGATAGAACGCAAGAAAATTTTTCTTATTGGATACCAATTATGTCACAATAAACTATTTGATGTATCCTATAGTTAATCCATTAATTCTTATTGGTTACTATAAAGGCGTAATAATCATATAAAAAGAACTTAAAATTTTGTATAAAATGTCAAATTGGCTTTTCAAAATAATAATAGCAAGATTAACTAAATCTAAATCATTTCCTTAATGAACTTTTTGTACTTTGCCTTTTCTCATGTCAATGGACAATTGGAGCATTAGGTTTTTGTTACCCTAAAGATTCTCTCTTTCTCTCTCTCTCGTTCTACTTTGTAGCCTTAGCAGGAAGCAATGAATATAATTTTGGTCACCAGAAGTTACCAATTCCACAAGAAACATATTCAATGTTATGATTGGCATGTGTTAGTGTTACCAACATGCCTGCTTTCTTTTCTTGTCATTTTTTTTTTCTCTTTCGTCTTGTTGCTTTGATTTTATGGTCTTGCTATTTAATTTGATCATAACCAAACAAAAAAAAATGCCAAACCAATCAAAACAGTTAACTAACAAATGATCAAATTCTGATGTAAAACGATGTAATAAAATCAAAGAAACTATTTTAAAGCATGAATAATGAAAAAAATCAAATAAACTTGTTCAAATAGATTTATACCTATCAAAAATTCATAAGAAAAAAAAATCCATCAACTATTGTATGAAAGGTTATTTTTGTTGTGGATCACAACTCCCCTTATTTCACTCTTTTTTTTTCGAATCACCCAACAATGATAAATGTAAATGATAACACGCACCGCATATGATGCATTCACCACTGATCACACCACCAATAAAAATTCAAAACCTATGTCTCCTTTATCATTAACTAGATTTTTGACGATTTGTACATTTAAATCATCTAATTGATTCAGTATTGAATATTAATGTCATCGTTTTTACTACTTAGGATTCAGCGATCGGTTTATCATTTTATGGTGCATCAATTTGTCGACCATTTCAAAATTCAGATAGCAATTAGAAGAAATGCCGCAACTAGTATGAAATTTTGACCCAGAAGATCAAACTACCAGAAACATTCTTTTCTAAAACTAGTACATCATTTTACGATTATAAATTTATTTTCCAATTTATATACCAAGATGATGTAAATAGTTAGTGGAATGTAATGCAATCATGTTCCAAAAAACAAACTAGTACATCTTTTTGATAACTTTTTATTGTAATAGTAAAGAAAATTCAAATCTTTAGGTATTACAATGATAGTAATTGTTGAAACTCCCCTGTTATTTTGATTGACTTAAAAGGGAGTCCAACCAAAAGATACTCTAGACAAAGCCTCAAAAAATAGCCAAGATCAAATCACAAATCATACACACCTCAGTTGAGATGAAAAACAAAACAAATCATATATGAAATCGGAGAAAAAAAACATATTTATCATGTATGTATGGTGTTTATCTTAATCGAAGAATTCCCATTTGAATCTCGGAGGGACCGGTTTAACCGTTTCGACCGCCTTAGCCTCCGATGAGGAATCAAACATCTCCCATTTTGTAGTTACAACAGCCGGAGTACCTGATGAGGAGGAGGCATTGGAATTCCTAGGCTCCTCCTCTTCCTCCACAAACGATAACAAATCGCGTTGCTCAAATCGCGTTTGCGTTTGCGGTTTGTGGCGGACCGACTTGTTGACTTCAACTTTTTTGGCAGAGTTTTTGACTTTCAAGACGTCGAGTGCCTCAACGTACTTCTGAACTCTTTGCACCTACCAAAATCAAATCAATATAACACATAAATAATCAAATCAAAATTAGTGATTCGAACATTAAATTCTTAGGTGATTAGATTTTAAACCTGCATCTTCCTCTTCAATTTGACATCACCATCAGCAATAATCGCATCAAGTCTCAATAACTGATTCATCAACATCTCTATCAGATTCACAAGACTCTTCTCTTCAACTTTACCTCCTTTATTAATCACTGTCTCAAACGCCGACACCTAAAAATCGGAAAAATCAGACTTAAAGATTCAAACTTTGAGAAGAAACAGAGTCGCCGTTAAAAAAAAGCTCTGTTTTTTTGAAGTACCTGTCCGGCGAGTCTGTCGACTTCGAAACTAATATCAGAGATAGATTTAGAAGCTTTTTCAATGGCGGCGTTTTTCCTTTTTGCAAGGAGACGTTTCTCCTGAGAAATTGGATCTTCTTTAACAACAAGCTTTGACCGATCTTTAACTCCACAAAGATCAAGAAACATCTTTGAATCTCTCTCTTTGTCTTTGTACAAAACCTTCATGTCTTCATGGTGAAGTCCCACCTGATCAGACAACATCTTCTTCAACTCTCCTGTTACAATAATCCAATTTAAGAAAGAAAAAAAAAACTAATCTTTTGGTTATATAAAATTGCCAAATTGGGAAAGCAAAAAATTGTACCGAAGGAAGATTGGGAATTGATGTTGATCTCGTGATAAACCGAACCGTATTTAACCCGAACACGAATGACACGTGGCACATCGGAGTTCTGATCTGTCCGACGTTGAACAACCATTCCTCCAGGTCGAGACTCCCACTCATTACCACTACTTCCGCCGCCGATGACCGGCGGCGACGTTCCTGTCTTCATTTTCATCATTCTTTATATATTCTTTGCTTCTTCTAGTCGTCTCTGTCTCTCTGATCGAAAAAAGATCGATCTCACATGTTATAAAGAATCCAAATATAGAGAGAGAGGTAATGAATATGATTTCTGAACACGATCAAGAAGAAGAAGAAGAAGAATAAAGAAACGTCTGAACAAAGGGAAGTAAAATGTTATTTTTTCTGCAACTCTAAATTTTAATATATAAAATAAAATAAATAAATAAAAGAGTGACAGCTAATGGTATTGTTGTTATGTCTCATCATCAGTAATCACACATATATATTTTATATGATTCCCACATTTTCTTTGTATTTTTTTTTATTTTTTTCTTCTTTTTTTCCATTGTTCTGTATTAGTTTGGTTGTCTCTATTCAAGATACAGATAATCCATCTATGTCAATGGGGAAAAATCAAATATATATTTATGCTCAAAAACCAATAGTAATTTGTGTGATTATAATTGTATTTTTACTAGACAATGTATCATGGTCATAATTTGCGTATAGATGAAAAATATATGGTAAATTTGGCGTTTACTCAACAACTTTTTTTATTTTGGGAAGTTTTGCTGGATTCAGTTTTGTGATTCATTGGTTCTCTTACTTTAAATGTTATAGATTTCTCATGTTAACAGAATCATGAAAATTCTGACAAATTTTTTGGCCTACTTGCTAATTTCACACACAACCAAAGTACAAATCTCATTATTTGTGTTTACAAGAATTCGGTGTCGTGAGAATTGGGTCAGTTAGCAAACATTTTATTGCTAGTGAAACAGAGCCTACCAAGGACCATGGAAATCTCTGGATCTTCCTCTTATTTTGTGAAAATAGACTATGTAGCGACAAAATGGCAAACTTTCAGTGTCCTAAACCACTGGGCAATTCATAACAAGTGTCATTTTCTAGTGACCGCATGAGTTTCAGTGTCAGACTCAGAACAACAGCTTATGGACAAGACATCCAACAACTATTTCAAAATATATCCGGCCCAGTATCCTTTTTCATGGGATTTTTTCTTTGAATGATTTTTTTGTAATTTCATCATGGGCCTGGGCCTCTGGGGTCTGGACACCTCTACCTAACCCACTCTAGCTAGATATGTTTCAAAGACAACAATGGTTTGAACTTTGAACCAAAGCCAGAGACTTGTCATTTCAATGAAAATGGCTTCTTTGCCTTTGCTATGCCATGACTCCTCTCTTGTTTTCTACACAAGTTCTCAGAAAATTGTTTAACTCTCTCCATTCTTCATACTTCATACAATTAGTCTTACATTTGTGGTATTTAATCTTTGATTTTAAAAGTTAAAACTCTTAAAGAGTACTTTAGCTCCTTAAGAAGTCTTTGAAATAAAACGGATTAGCTAGCAATACCAACCCTTTGTGTGTTTTCATGTGTGTCATCAATCTGTTAAACTAATATTCTTCTCAGTGGAAGCTAACCACTTAACAAGCAAAATGGGGACAAATCAACACTCTGTAAAAACCAACATCATTGTAAGTAAGTGATTACTCTTCTTGGGAGTTGCTTGCTCCCCTTCAAGGCTCAAGCTGAAGCGGATTCTCATCCACAAATATCATTAAAATGAAAACTTTTCGAATTTAAAGACACAAATTATTACTCATAAGTACTACATGAGCCCTCTCCTTTTGGTCTCGAGTATCTCTCCATCTTCTAATTTACGGAATTGAGAAAGAAGAGTTTCAGTTTTCAGAAGTTGAAAGACTGAGCCAAGTGGTGACAAATTCGACCGTTAGGGTCTTCACAAATTGGATATTTTGCAAAACTCATGTTATAATTTTATTATTATTAATAAGAGTTTGTATGAGTGATTTCCTTTTTCTAAGTGATAAAAGGAAATTTCCTTCTTTTTTTTGCGTCCAATTATATAAAATAGGAAAACTTAACCATAATTTCCTTTTCTTTTCTTGTTATAATAAAATTTCCTTTTTTTCGGTCATAACCTTTCCTATAAATATATACTCATCTCTCATCTTAAGAATCAAAGTTCTCTTCTTCGAAAGGCAAAAACCCTAAGTGCTCTTTTTCTTCTTCTTCTTCTTTTAAAAACTTGAGTTTCTTCTTGAGCAAGTTATCTCGAAACCGTCACGATTCTCGCGACGGAAATTATTCGTTGGGTTCTTAGTATCTGTTCGGCTGAACCAACTAATTTTCTCCATCTCAGTTTTAGTCGATATTAGAGAGACAAGGTGATGTTTAAAGGTGAATCTGGGATTCAACATGCGTAATCACCAAGGGATCAGAGTTACGGTGATGAAGTTGTGGCCGGGATATGAGAGAACACGACGGAAATCGACAATGAGATAACGGAAAATTCTTCGTCGGAGATTATTTGTGATGATGTCATTCCACGGATTTTGTGGATGATGTTTAATGAGGCACAAAGAAGAATTTTGGTTCAGCACGGAGATCAAAGGGTTACGGTGAAGGTTCATGAGAGAATACGACTTGGAGAGATATCAGATAAGGAAAGAGTCTCGCGTTTCATCAAATCCAGTACGATTTCAGGTGATTCCTCTTCCGTTTTTAAAGTCAAAAATACCTTTTATAATTTCACCTTTTTTCTTCCCACCAAAAAAATTTCACCTTTTTTCTAGATTTTATACAAGTTTTTTTTGTTTTTATACTAAATTTACAAATCGATATGAAACTAACCGGACTTTGGATCCTATCATTTGACCTAGTCATTTGATCGTTAGAGATTTCAAAAGTTCAATTTGTTTTCGCATCGTTATGTAAATTTAGCATTGAATTTTCGAATTTCAATTTTTTTTTACGGATTTTTTTGTTTTTTGTTTTAATACTAAATTTACAAATCGATATAAAAACTAACCGGACTTTGGATCCTATCATTTGACCTAGTCATTTGATCGTTAGAGATTTCACAAGTTCAATTTGTTTTGGCATCGTTATGTAAATTTAGCATTAAAATTTTATTTTATTTTCTACGGTTTTTTTTAATACTAAATTTACAAATCGATATGAAACTAACCGGACTTTGGATCCTATCATTTGACCTAGTCATTTGATCGTTAGAGATTTCACAAGTTCAATTTGTTTTGGCATCGTTATGTAAATTTAGCATTAAAATTTTATTTTATTTTCTACGTTTTTTTTTTTTTGTTTTTATACTAAATTTACAAATCGATATGAAACTAATCGGACTTTGGATCCTATCATTTGACCTAGTCATTTGATCGTTAGAGATTTCAAAAGTTCAATTTGTTTTCGCATTGTTATGTAAATTTAGCATTGTATTTTTAAAGTATGTTTTTAAATAAATTTTAGATTTTTTTGACAGATTTTATAAAAGGTTCTTTTTTTCTTGCTTTTTTATATACTAAATTTAACAAATCGATATGAAAAGTAATCTTACGACAGTATTTTCATTAACAGATCCCGTCAATTGAATAATCCAGATAAAATATCAAACGATAATATTTAGTATATACTCTTCTTTTCATTATTTTAGCTTTATTTTTGTTTACAAATTTGTTTGATTAAATCTGAAAAACGTTTGAATGTTTCTAAAAAATCGAGTAACTAACTTAATGTCAATATTTTGCTAATTCTTCTGTTGGTCAAAGCTAATGTTGTACAATCACTTCTCTTTGGCAAACGCAGCAAAGCTGAAAAGGAGTAAGGGAGATAAATTGGGGATAGGGTTAGTATCATTAAAATTCATATAGCAACTAAAGAATAACCTTTCACAAAATTACTGATGAAATATTGATATGGTATATAGCTTTGGGTAGTAAAAAGACAAATGATATTTACCAAACAATATTTTGTTCAATCATATATTTTCATATTAAATTTATTTGCTTTATTTTTCTATAATAAATGTAAGAACTTGAAAAACCAACATGTTTTCATCCAATAATAATAATAATCTATTTAGCATATCATGATCATGTCAGTAATAGAAGAAGAAAAACGAGAAAAGGCGGTACTAACCTTGCTGTTTTGGAGCCAATGACTAATGCAATCTTTGTGGTATTTGTGAGTACAGGGTAAAATAGTCATTTTATCTCCACGAGCGTAATCTGACTGGCATATCATACACCTGTTTCCCCCACTCATACTGTTATTAAATTTTAAAAGCATTTATGTATTTAAATTGTATAATGTCATTCACTGGTCTTATCTATATTTTACGTCATGTATCGTTTTTTTTTTCTTCTTTCAACTGATTTTAAAATTAAAAGATTTAATGTGATTATAAGAACACTATCCTTTGTAATTTTAAAATCAGAAAGCCGACAAAAAAAAAAAAAAAAAAAAAAAAAAAAAATCAGAAAAAATATTTATGAATAAGGGAAATAAGAAAGAAGGGAGATAGTAATATACTTTTTATCTTCTAGAGAAGGTTTAAACTTGACGGTAGGTAATTGAGAAATTTGTCTCGTTGTTAATCCTTCACCTACACTTACTGGTTCACGCTCTTGTATCTGCTCGATTATTTCCTGTGATACAATAAGAATATTTATTGGACCAGTTCTGTCTAGGTATAACGGTGAGAGTTAATATTAAATTTTCAGGCGAGAAAATGATATTTGAAAAATATAATGATTGTTTTGGATATCCTTACATCGAGTGAATGTTGGTTTGGTTGATCTTCAAAGCGTTCTGCAAACGTATATTAAAAGGTTAATTCACCGGTGATAGACTTAACCGGGTTTTGATTCAGTCTATATATACCATGATTGACTAACTGATCAAATAGTCTCTACTTACTATATAAAAGACGATACTATTGATCATGTTACATAATGAAGACATATACCATATGAGAGTCCTGAGTATGAATGTGGAGAATCGTTATAAGGCATCGGTGTGGGTATTGGTCTTGGTACTATTGGTGTTGGTACGAACAACCGCCTTAGCATCAACATTAGCCATGATATCAAACATTTCAAGCATAGCCTATGGTGAGTGTTTGGTTGGTTTTGAAACTGACGATGATGATATCCAGAACGAGAAATGTCTTGTGAAGTATAATGTTCCGATGAATTGGGATTATAATAATGGATA